ATTTAAAAATTGATTTCTTCAAACATCTCTGGCGGTATTGCGTTTAATCGACGAGAATTATCATCGCGTTAAACCTACGCTCGAACGAAAGGAGACGTTTGACAGACTGATATGATGATTTATGAGCGAGCAAGAAAGATTGATGCGACCATCGACATTGATCTCGTTAACGGCAACAAACGCTTTTATCCTATATACGAATTCCTGCAAATCGGCAGGAACCGTTAAAATAACATCCGGCAATATGTCCGACACTGCCATGAGAGATGAAACAGCAGTACGTTTCAATGGCGATCGCAAATGACGCATAAAATTATGGAGCATCGAGACAGAATCGTGAATCTTCGTGGAATAATCGAGGGAACAAAATGGTTAGCTTGTAGGTGAAGCTGCTTATTAGAGATGTATAATTTCAGCATGAATTTCAGATGCCGAGCCATAGACGACGAAGAAAATTGCAAGGGAGCTCACTCCTTTGCATTCTTAAAAAAGAAAGAGAGTTGAATTAAAATCCGCTGCTTTATTAATTTTGTTATCGGTATTCAGTGGACATTCCATAATACCGGACATAATTATAATTAAAATATCTTACGATGACAATAAGTATAACACGTAAAAAGATAGGGTAGATAAACATTGCGTGATGAACAAGAGATTTTCATGAATTAATTAATTAACTAATTTAACCAACACATTTTATCTACTCTCACAATGAAGGAACTGCTATCTCATTATCTTCGTATAATTCAGAATAGCCGTTTCCTATACCTACTTCATTCTGAATTTCATTCTTTCTTTCTTTCTTTCGGTGACGCGCTCGTCAGCATTGATACTCTCCAGCCTCATAAATAATTAAATATTCCGCGCGGCAAACCGCATAAATTACTCTTAGCGCGTTTAACGGATAATTAAGTCTCTCCGCAAGAATAAATTACTTGAATTCGAATTATCGGGCATCGCTCGAAAATCTGGAAAATACATCGTCTATATTCATTCAATTAATTAATTAATAACGAAAGAGATACAAATTAAATTCTGCAGAGCAGATATTCAATGGGGGGGGGGAAAAAAAAAAAAAAACCGGTGATATCTCGCAACGAATTTCGAAACAATCATTTCCAGATATTAATAAACGCTGCAAATTGAATTTTTAGAGGCGGGCGTTAAAAAGTACGAGTTAATGGGTAGCAGTTAACATAGCGTGGTTGAGAAATGCATCACGGTTTAATACGATGCGAGAGAGGAAACGTTGAAACGTGCGCGAGTAATAAAACCACAGGCTGTAACAGGAGTAAAATCAGCGAAAAGGAACCATGAATGGCCGCGCCGCGCATTAAACATTCTCGCCTCGTTTCCTGACGGCGTCGTTCACTTTGTCGACGATTCGTACCACTGGCCCGCGCCCGACGTCTTATTGATATTCTCTCCGTAACAACGGTCAAAATTTACTCCCGTAAACAGATTGAGATCCAACTACAACTAACGCACGCATTGCTACTAATTTAACGACGTTACGTGATCGTTCTGTTTCGTCGCGTGATTATCGCGTGCAGCTTCGCGAAGCGAACGTTCGTGCCAACTAAATGTATCGTCGTAATAATCGGAATTAAAAACTTCGTGTTGCAATTAAAGCGGATTTAATACAGTCGGACGGTGTCTTGGCATAGGCGTATTCATCGACACAAACCCGAAATCCTCATCGCTGAAAACTTTCCAAGCTCGGACTTTCAAGGAAAATTCCTCACGGATCGAAGAGGACGAGAAAATTGGTTTCAACCCGAATTTCACAGAGTTTCCGTGCAACTGTACGACAATTACATTATTGTTACGTGCAATTACTTCTCACGATAGATCCTTCAATTTTCTATCAACGAACGAACCGGTCGTTATGATTTCGACGATGCTTCACGATCGTCTTCCTCGATTTGCCGCGGTGCTACCGTAATCGTAATGTTGCGCTTTACGGGCGCTTTATCGCGCGCGCGTGACTTCGCGTCGATTCGCCGTGATTTAAGGATGACTCTCGCGAGAGAATATTGCCGATGGTGGATCCCAATACCGACCGTCTAGACATGCTCAGCCAAGGCTTGCAATATCGGTTTAACGACGGCAAGATGGAGCGGAAGAATGTTCTCGAGCTTGCGAAAGCAAAGCCCCGTCACGGCGATGGAGACCATAAAGAACAGCGACGATATGAGCGACTCTGATTTGAAATCTGTTTCGACACACCTGTTCGACTCATTATGGGTTGATAGAACGTTTAATATATGCAGGGTGTCCTAAAACTGACAATAATAAATATTTCGAAGATAGTCTGTTGTAACATTTTGAGAAAAGTCTAATACAAAAATGTCGTGGCGATTGGTATAGTTTTCAAATGGGAAGAGTTTAAAAATTGCAAATGGCAGGGCTAGAATCTCACGCGCTCAATGGATGGCAAGATGGTTTGGTGTGAAGATGTTTTCTCGAATTTCATGCTTTTGATGATGACAAAATTCAGCTCACAGACAACAAGCTCAATCCTCAGTCATTCGTAACTCTTTCTATTTGAAAACTATCATAGCCTCGACATTTTCGTATTAAACTTTTCATCTTAAAATGTTACGAAAAATTTGTCTTTTAAATTTATTTATCGGCAGACTTGGACACTCTATATAAAAGGTAGATTTTCTCTGACAGGTACATGAAATATTTGGATGAAATCGAACGCGAATATTTTCTATAGATGGAAGGGGCCTTGAAATATTAGTAACGAGTTAGTAACGAGAATTGGTACACGTCAACGCCTTATCTACAGAATACCAGAAGAGCGAAGAACGAGTCGTGAAAATGAAGGAAAGACGTTGTAGTTTCGCAGCGAGGATTGAAGTGACGCCCGTCTGGCGTGCTATTTTAATGCGGGAGATGATCGATTAAGTATTCCACGCGCGGCATGGCGCGTGGCCGTAATTGAATGCACGTCTCGGGATTTTTCACGCATCGCGCGAAACCTGAGCATCACGGCCTGAAAATAACCGTAACGAGAATTCCGATGGTTTAAGGTGGAGTTTATTTCATTGCGCTTTACGATCTACCGATCGCACGATCAGTAGTTCTCAATTTGAGAGGCATGTTTCTGTAGGAAACGAGAATGTATTTCACACACTTTTAAAATCTTAATGTAAAATTGCAATTTTTATCTATCCACATTCAAGAGATTTTTTTCAGCGGATAACATTTTCATATTTGTATAGAACAACTTTTATACTAGCACAAAATAAGTTTTTATTTTACAGCAGATTCTACAAATCTTTACGAGATGATCCGGAGAAACACAGGATATACAAGTACATTAAATTTTATATTAATATAAAATTAAGTAACAATACAATCATTTCTTAATTTCCATTCTAATTTTTGCGTTATGCAATTTTTACCTCTGTTATTTGTAATATACATTTTTGTGAATTTTAAAGAAACGTGTTGACTCTTACTTTGCCCGGTATCTATTTTTATTTATTTTACATTAATAATTCTAGATAATATAAATTGCACCGAACCGTAACATTTAAATCCCTAGATGTTTCAAGCTGAGAGAGAACAGCTGATCTCCGCACTGCGATGTGTGAAATAATAAGGCCGTACGCGTGTCTCGCTTAGGGGTCCAAGGTTTCCCAGATGAATCATTAGTCGCGAGGAGGCAAAAATAATAATCCCACCTCTGCGATAAATCCGCCGCATTATATATAACTCTTGATCTTTGCATCCCCGTGCAACAACGATATATCATCGTATCGATTGTCCGCCCCCAGATTCTGCATCGAGCAAGTTGAGAGCTTGCAGGCAGCAGCAACGACGAGAGCGATGAAGAAAGATCGTTGCGGCTACGCACGCACAGCCTTTCGAGAATCTTTCCGGCGCGAGTCCGCCTGTTCCTTCGCTTATAATCGCGTTTCGCGCAGTTGTACTCGTACGTGCGCGAGTGGGCGAGGGTGAGGTATGAGAACAGAAATCGAGAGGGAGAATCGTGACTGCAATGGCGTGTATAATGAGAGGGCAATATTCGTAGAATACTACGAGACGCATAAAGAATATTCATAAATATATCTAAGATAAAAATCAAATAAATATACATATACTCGTATATATATGTATATATATATAGTCGTACATGTACCTCTCACACATTTAACATCGCGATATAACACATATAAAAGATATCGCAGAAAAAAAAACACAGTTCGTGTAAACTCAAACTATTTGTCCAAACAAGTAATTAAGCGAGTGTTATTATCGGAACTAGAAATATCTCAAAGGAACATGTTGGATTGCGCGAACGATCAAAGTCGGCCGCAAATTAATTTCGTACCGCTTGAGAAAGCAGCAATCGATCGATCAAGAGGCGGCAAAGGCGAACCAGTATAGGTAGTCCGTAAACCGGAAATAAATGGCCGAAATAAATTTTTACGACAGGAAGATATGTATCGCGTCTCGTTAGCCGTTTCGCCGATCGATCTTTGTCGCACGATTAATGTCTCCTAGGAGCGAAATCCGTGTAGGGGCCGCGCAGGAGAGAGAGAGAGTTGAGGAAGCGTCTGAAAAATTCACGCACCACAGGAGACGACACCGCGCGACTTCCTGCCTTCGCGAAATCGAGAAGGAAACTAATGATAAAATAAGTAGAACGCGCGGAAATATCCAGGGCGACGAGATCGCGAAAGGAGCTGCCGATCGATCGAGAGGGGGGAACGTCAATGAGCTTTCATCATTTCGACTCGGCGGAGCGAGGAAAGTGAAGAGAGAAGTGGAGAGAGAAAAAACGGCGAAAAAATCGGTGAGAAGTCATCAGGCGGGCTGGACGGCTCGAGTGGTCGACAGACGTCGGTTCAAGGCGACTTTCCGCCTCACACGCTCGGAGATGCGTCTCGAGTCTGGCACGTGTGTGGAGATCGCCCGACAGATCGAGTGACTTTTCCGGAAAGCGGGATCGATAAACCCGAGCGAGTGGTACGCGAACTTACCTTCGAGATTCGCCATGGAGAACCTGTAGCTGTCGATCCTCGGTGTGTTGATGTCCGAGTTAAAGGGCCTGAGGGTCGCCGAGCTCACGTTGTCAAGACCCTGCAACACGAAAGATAGCAAACACCATTAGGTTTACTCCCATTGCAATCGAGGAATGTGTGTGTCGCCGCAACGTGTTAAGCAAATAAGGGCAATGACCGCTGCCATCTGCCCTTTTAAAGGGATTAGTTGATGAAGAAGATTAAAAGTCTCACTTCTAGTCTCAGTTCGGTCTGTTAGATTTTAGTATATAAGACTGCACAAATATCGAACAATAGTTTATCATTGGAGCAATAATATTGCAATGATTTTATCGATTTTAATAAATCGTAAGTAAACGTAGGAAAACTTTTAGAAAAATGCTATCTCTTCTTTCATTACGATCAATTTTGAGGAAGAAGGAGATGGCCGGTTTTCATACTCTTTAGCGGTATAAATTCGTGTGCGATTCATAAATGTAGCACCACGCGAATATATTCTTGAATATCTTGAGTTGCCAGTCACGAAAAACGTGGTGTCATGTATGGCGTAGCGGAAAAAGATGATATTCAAATCGAATCCACGCCAGAAAGTAATCCCGGCATTTCTTCGACCTTTCTCGTCTTAGAAATCCACCTCAATCCGTAATCCGCTGGAAATCCTTTTACGTTTCCAATCCCCGATTGCGGATGAGATTTGTACAGTCGAAAGCATTAAGTCACTTGCACTCACAAAGAGGCTTTGCGGCACGTGCGACTTTTTTCTGTTCCCTTATAAAATAAAATAAAATAGTTGAGCTGTACTATTAATTGTGAAAAAAAATACTCGCAATCCCTTTTGTGTCAATATCAAATATTACAGAGAACATTTTTCATGAAAAATATCCGTGACGTTCCAGTTATAGATTATCAAAATATTAATCGAGAGAGAAAAAAGTGACTCTGTAACGTAATCTACTTTCAAAATTAGTCGTCATCAAACGTGTTAATTAAATTAAAAAAAGAAACTGGCAACGTAAATTGTTAATGATTTCGCCATAATCTTTTTGCAATGAATTTTCGAAAAAAAATGATTTAAAAAATTAGCAATAAAAATACGTCGCATGTTTCAATAATAAAAGAGCAGTGTTTATTTTCAAAATAATGTTTACAAAAAAATGTCCCACTTCAGATCTTATGATCTTCTTATACTTTTCTTATAGGAGCGACTCTTATTAGAGGCAGAAATTTTATTTTTAACAGCAACTTCCGCAAGATAAAAATAAGCAGCCTTTGTGTTATCGTTAAGTCGGTGATACGAAGTTGATTAGCAGCCTCTGCTTTTCAATATATTTTGCGCGATAAAATCGTACCAGCGACGAGAGAGGAGAAGAACGTTGTGCTCCTCAGCTTCTGAGGATAGCGCCAACGGATAACGTGCCTTCTATAATCGTGCGCTTTTAGATAGGCAACCTGACTGGCATGCATCGATAACCTTAGAGAGGTACGGGTTATGGTGAACGACCTGGTGGTCATTACTGGGTCACTGAAGTTTAATGCGCGAACTAGGTAGCTCGATACAATGTAAATAGACCGCACGACCACCTTGTCAAAAGGAAACTGGCGCGTCGTAAATTGTCTAGAAGGATTTATAAACAGCGACGATAGAAGCATGAATGCACAAGTACGCATTGTTCTCTGAGCGTTGCGAAATTATAGTTAGCAGTCCGAGAGTTCGTCTAGGATATCCCTGAAGTTTCTGTGTGTCTCTGTGTATGTATGTGTGTTAATGCGTTGCGCTGAATATTTGTTTTAATGTGCAACCACAGAGATTTTCATTATATTATATTATTACAAATTACAAGCGCAGCGCCATACATCAACTACGGTTTGCATTGTATTTGACGTAATTTATAAATATTTAGCGAGATATATTAACAGAGAAAGAGAGAGAGAGAGAGAGAGAGAGAGAGAGAGAGAGA